AGTCAGTTAACAAACCAGGTTAAGTGGTTGGTTTAACCAGTCAAACAACAAACCAGCAAACCAGTTCAACCAGAACACCAGTCTGTCAGCGAAGACACCAGTCTAACCAGTCAGCCAGGAAACAAGTTAGTAAGCAAACCAGTCAAGTAGTAAACCAGATGATCAGCAACCCAGTTAAACCAGTCAGCCAGCAAATCAGTTTAACCAATCTGTCACCAAACCAGTTTAACAAGTCAGTCAGGAAACCAGTTTAACCAGACAGTCAGAACACTAGTCAGCTAGGAGACCAGTTTAACCAGTCAGTCAGCAAGTCATTCAGTTAACAGACCGGTTTAACTGTTGATCAACAAACCAGCTGATCAGCAAACTAGTTCAACCAGTCAGTCAGAAAACCAGTCAGTCAGCAAACAATTTACTCAGCAAACCAGTCTAACCAGTCAGTCAGGAAACCAGTTGGTAAGCAAACCAGTCAAGTAATAAACCAGTCAACCAGCAACCCACTTTAACCAGTCAGCCAGCAGATCAGTTTAACCAGTCAGTCAGTAAAGCAGTCAGTTGGTTAATCAATCAGTTAGTTTACAAACCAGTTTAGCTCTATTCATTTAGCCACGAAGCAAAGTAGCTAGTTATCCAACCAGTAAACCAGACAGAAAGGGGTCACCTGGTAAACTGAGAACCAGTCTGCCAGTGATCTAGTGAGGCAAACTAACTAACCAGGAAAACAGTTTACCAGTCAGTCAATAAACTAGTTTAACCAGTCAAAAAAAATGTCAGTCAGCAAATTAGTCAGTCTGAAAACCAGTTTAACCAGTCAGTCAGCAAACTAGTGACTCAGCAGAAAACAACCAATTTACAAACTAGTCAGTCAACAAACCGACAAACCAGCCAGTAAAGCAACTAGTCAAGTTAATCAGTTATTCTTTCCAGCAGCCTTTCAGCCAGTTTAACAGTCAGAACTTCAACTAGTTAACTAATAAACCAGTCGCTCAGTCATACAGCTGACTAACCAGTCATTCAGTCAGTGAGTAAAGCAACAGCCTGAAACTAAACCTGCTAACTGACCAGCTGGAGGCTGAACTGTGTTGATGCTGTTGAACAGTCTGAAGATCAATAAACACGATCAGCTGATCTGGATCAATGAAAATGAGCTCCTTTAACCTTCAGCTCTTTAGTGTTTAAGGAGTCAGAGGAGACTCCAGCATCCTCTGGTTAACAGAAGCAGGTAAACTAGTTGTTAAAGCGTTCTGATGCCGTGTCTCAGACCTGATCACAGTATTCAACCTTTATTGATCTTTAAACTCATTCAAACTGAAGTCATAAAGAAGAAACCTGTAGTCAGAGTTAAACCATTCACTCACCAACCTCCTCCTATAAAAGCCATAGACTAAAAGCACATTTATAGAGTCAATCGGCTCCAAGCAGCTGAGCTGATGCTGCAGCGCCCCCTGCTGGCCGGAGGTCAGAACTGCCAGCTCATTCACATGAATTAAGATCTAAATCAGCAGCTTCTAAGAGACAGCAACAGGAAATTAGAGGTTTAGTTTTATATTTCAACCAGAAACTTGAATCGTTTGTGGACCAGAGCGGAATAAAAAGCAGTCGGCGTCTGTAAAGTTGTTCCAGTTGTTTGATCTGTTCAGTCTGTTTACCTGCATTTAAATGAAGATATCTGACCTCCAATCATGCAGTTCAACCAGAAACAGAGGACAGAAAAGTTGTTTTTATACTAAAAACTATCATCAACAATCAAAAATATTAATAGTGAGCTCTGGTAGTGGTTTAACACTGAGGTCCTGTTTCCTCCAGATGACTTCCTGTTCAGGTTTTATTAGTCTTTAACTTATTGTTTTACTAAACTGCTGCATACTTGTGTTTTTTCCCCCTAAAGTCTCACATATAGCAAACTAAAGATAACAATCATGGAAATATTCCTAAATTTACAGCAAGAAATTAGACATTTTTAGGAAATTATGAATAGAACCTGCCTTCACCCTGAGTCAGCTGGGATAGACTCCAGCCCCCCATGACCCTAGTGAGGAATAAGGTGTAGAGATGATGGATGGACCAGTAAAATGTATGAATTAAAAACATGGATTCAGACTCCTGATTTCAATATTTTCCTTCCTGAAGGTGACGTAGTTCTGGACTAAAGATCGTCTCCTTCATCAGATGAAGAGCTCCAAGAATCCAACAAAGAAGCTTTCAGAAGAGACGAGAGTCGTGTTTCTAGTGTTTAAGTTCATCTTGTGTCTCTTTATTGTTGATTTATGTCTGTTTGTGGTTGTTTCGCAACTCTCTGGTCGTCGTTTTGTGTCTCTTCGTGATTGTTTTTTTTATCTCTTTGTGGTCATATTGTGTCTTTCTGTGGTAGTTTTGTGCCTCTTTCTTGTTGCTTTGCATCTCTATGCGGTCATTTTGTGTCTGTCTTTTTGTCTCTTTATGGTCATTTTGTGTCTATGTTTTTGTCTCTTTATGGTCGTTCTGTCGTTCTGTTGTCATTTTGTGTCTCTATGTGGTGCTTCTATTTCTGAGGTAGTTTTGTGTGTCCGTCCTCACATCTGTGGTTATGTGGTGTCTTTTTGTCACTGACTCTCAGCAGTCGTATCAAACACAAACTCTCTCTGTGACCTCCTGACCCTTTGGGCTCTTGGTCCTGGTCCTGTTCCTGGTTCTAGTTCTGGTCCTTCAGTGACCCTTCCATGAGTGTCTGTGTGTATCAGGGAGCCGATGAACAGAAATGACACCACAAACTCTGCTTTCAATCACAGTTCCTTCAGCGGTTTTAATGAAAATAAACTCTGTTTGTACAAAACAAATAAATATCGGTGCGGCCCACGCTGTCGGACAGAACCTCCGGCCCCTCAGACAGAACCTCCGGCCCCTCAGACAGAACCTCCGGCCCCTCAGACAGAACCACCGGCCCGTCGAGGCCTCGGCCGTCGGACAGAGCCGCTCCCCCATCGTCACTGCCGGGCTGGTGTTGCGTTCAGGATCAGCGGGAACTCTAGGCGTCTCAGTTCTTCCCTGCGGGGGGCCGGACGGTTTGTCTCCAAACTATCTGTTACCCTCTCTGGGGTAAAAATCTCCCTTCCAGGCAGCACTGAGGGGGTTTCACAAAGTCCAGCTGCTACTATGGCTTTAAATCCTGGAGCTAAAAATGACGAAGCAGTTTGGTTGAAGAAACGTGAAGTTAAAGTGCAGGACGTCTGATTGTCAGTTTTAAAAAATATCAGAAAATAAAAACAGGATTCCTGCAGAAAAACCCGACCAGACGGATGAACCTGAGCGTTAAACCCAGTCGTACAAAATTCAGTTAGCTATCATCTACCGTCCAACAGATTATCTGAAAACAAACTGAATATTTTTAGATTTTTACTAAGACATTAAAGTTGCTGCTTTGCGCTGTGGGAAATCAAAACAGCGATTTTTTTGCTTTTTTCTGCATTTTATAGAAAAAAAATCTAATAAGTTGAGCGAAAATGACGATTAATTATCATAAAACAACACATTAAAGACGTCTTGCTGTTCTGCGGGATGTTACTCAGGCGTCGTCTCAAGTGTTGTAGCAGGTTTCTGACAAAATAATGAACCAAAAGCTGCTCACATGGAGTCAGAGCACGAGATGGAATTAGCAGAAAATTAATCAGCATCTACTAAGACAATCAAATCAACATTTTTGACATTTTTAAAAGGGAAAAAATTGAAAATATTTTTAGCTTCCAGCTCCTCAAACGTGAAATTTGATGCTTAACTGGATATTTTCAGATTTTTTTTTTTCCTTTAAGACATTAAAGATGCCGTGTTGCATTCAGGGGAAACTAAAACAGGATGTTTTTTGCAGCTTTCTGTCATTTTATATACAAAAACAATAACTGGCAGATAAATTGAGCGAAAATGAAAATCAATTGAGCTTGTATGAGATTTATGAAGTAGAAGAATTCACTTCTGTCAAGAATTTAGGACGAAGAGCTGAACTTATAAATAATCAATTAAGCGAATGACGGAGATTTAATCTGCTGCCGTCAGTTTTTATGTCTTCAAACGAGCTGAGAAAGTGCAGGTCTGACTAACTACTACTGGATGAACCACCTGCAGACGAGAGAGAACGAGCGACTCGGTCGGGTTTCTGCAGGTCGCTGAGCTGCTTTCGCTGCCCCCTACTGGACACTGAGTCTTTGTGAAACCCCCCCGGCCTCAGACCGTTAGTGAAACAGACAGGGTGTTACAGGTTTTACAGATTTTATATACAAACTCTGATAAATACGTGGGGAGAACAACAAAGCAGGGTTTTTTTGTTTGTTTTGTTTTTTTCTCTACATTCAAGTCACACAAGCAGCGTTTTTCAGTTGCCACAGAAAAAAAAAAACAATATGGCAAAAACTCGCCTTCGTCTCCGTCGTCCCCCGAATTTAAACCGTTTTCCAGACCAGACGGGGAATTCATGGACTATAAAAACAGTATGTTCCCTAATTAACATTGCTGCTAGCAAAAATATCAGATATTCTCCAAAACATTCACATCGGGCATTTACATATGAACATGAAGAGACTCCATCGTGGACTCTGGTGTTTGTTTTCACTCGTCAACAGAAAACCAAACGCAGGCTTCAGACCTCAGGATGTTTCTGTTCGATAACACGTCAGCTGATTATCGAGGCATTAATACTGCGCTTCGGTGTCCGACCAATCAGAGCTCACCGTCTTTTACCACCCTGTGATGTCATCAGGACGACTTCCTGAAACAAGAACGTAAACAAACGATGCCAAAAAAAAAAAAACGATTAACGGATTAAGAAGTGCAACTATTTTTCTATTTTCAAATAAATAAATAAAAAAAGTCTAACATTTACAGATTTTAGTGTTTAAAAAAAGTCGATTTTCTGCTTTTGATAGTCACGCACAAAGATTATCTGAAACTTTTTTTGTAAATTTTTTTAACGTTTTATGGACTTTATGGTCACGTCTGAGCAGAAATACTAAATAATTGCGGGTTCAAGCTAGTAAAAAGTGCAGATTACATGCAGCTTTTTGCCTTATATGACTGTAAACTGAATCCTTTTGTGGTGTTTGTGGCTTTTGAAGATGTTCTACACAATTATTTTGCAATTTTTCATGGACTCAGTGACGTTTCCTTGATAGAAACGCCCCAAAATTTGCTGGTTCAAGCTTCCACAATGTGCCGACTGCAGGCTTTTTCTCGTCATATTTGACTTTAAGCTAAGAATGTTGCTGTCGGGGTTGACTTTAGGTCAAATAAGACATTTAAAGACGACATCTTCAGTTCTACAAAATAATTTCACAATGTTTTGTTGTAGTTTTTTGACAGATTGCAAGATAAACTAAATATTTTTGGGCTTTTTGTGACTTTTGGTTGAACAAAAGACGTTCAAAGACGTTACCGTCAGTTCCACTAAACAGTTCTGGATGTTTCATAGACTACAAAACATCCAAAGTGTGCTGGTTCAGCTTTTTAAATGTGCCAAATGCATGATAGTTTCTTCACACATGACTGTAACTGTATATTTTACCTTCTTTTAAAAAACACGTTCAAACAAAACGCAGCATTTAAAGACGTCCCCTTCGGCCCTGCACTAGTTTTTTGGCACGCTTTTAATGTTTTAATAACTAAAAAATATATTTTTTAGGTAAAAAAGCAGAATGTGCTGGTTTCAGACTCTTTGACGTGCAGATTTGATGTAATTCTTCGTCATTTATCACCATAAATTGAATATTTTAAGTATTTGCGCTGATGTTCCGACAAAACGAAACATGATCTCAGGATGTGGTAAACTATAAAGAGGTTTTTTGGTTTCTATTTTTTGACTTCAGCTCAGCGAAGCACAGATGAAACTACTGCTTGAACAATCGGCAAAGTAAAAAGAAAAAAAAAAAAACATTTGCAGAGTGGAAAAATCTGCAAAAGTTGTGAAAATTAAAATGTGCAGGAAAAATAAATAAAATGAGTGTTTTTTTCTTTCTTCTTTAGTTTTTAAAGGAAGCAACTATTTCATAAAATCATCTGTCAATAAAGCAAAACAAAAACGGTGATTAATCACAAAGGATCTCCTGAATGTCAGTGTGCTAAGCTAAGCTAAGCTAAGCTAGTTAGCAGCACACTTTGAGTTTTGTCGTATTTAAGCTTAAAACAAAAAATCTGAACGTTTGGGAGCATCAGCTTTAACTTTGACTACAAACAGGACAGAGTGGCTGAATGAGGCTGAGCTACTGACCTCTTGTGTCGGTTTTATTCAGTTTTTGCCTAAAATTGCACGTTAAGCGGTTCATAGTGAGATAAAGTGCTGAAGAAACCCGACTCTGGTCAGGAGCCAGTTCTATATAAATGTGTGTTTTGGGCTCTGCTGCTCTTGGACACGTGGAGGCGCTCGAAGGAGCAACGCTCTCCACCATCGACACAAAAACAAACAGAGACTCGACTCTTTGGGGTTATCGAAGCCACATCCTGAAGTCTGAACATCTCGCTGCTGCTGAAACAAGAACAAGTCGGTTTTTGGTCTGAAAGGATCCGAACGAGCCGCTACAGACTGTTAATGAAGACGGACGACACGACGGCCTCCCCACAGAGAAACACCTCAAAGGTGAACGTCGTCGTCTCCAGTTTGTGGAATTATTTGCAACCAGAGAGAAAGAAAGAAAGAGGAGGTTTGAGGTGGAGCTCATGAGTTTCTCATCTTTTCCTCCTGAGATGTGAGTGAGGACGGTGAGGAGATGTTAGCATCTTGCCAAAGCAATCAGAGGACGAAGGTTTAGGCTGTCCTGCCTCGTGTTAAAGCAAATCGATTTATGGGGACAAGTAGCTGCTACGTAGCTGGAAGCTGCTCACCAACAACTCGATGGACAGGATTTCTGTGGAGGCGCTGAGATGTTCAAACTGAAACAGAACAAAAACTAAGGCTGTGTCTGAAATCACCCATCACACCGTGAATCGTGATGTCTGAATGCTAAGCTACAGACGCTACACCCTGTACAGTGCCCTCAATGTACCCCACAAACCACCGACGGTCACCAAACAAAAAGACGAACGAAAACCTGTCATTAAAATGTGAGTAATTTCCTGTTTATGTTTTGTTAAACTTGATTCCCCCCGTGTCTTATCTACACAATAACCTGTGAATCTGTTTGTGCTACGCTGCTGCGGCACAAATCACAGCCAGCGAGCGACGTGACGAACACCTCCAGTAGTGTCTGAAAAACACACATAAAACACACAGTGGTCCCTGATAGTGAGCCGATGGTTTCAGACACGGCCTGAACATCTCAGTAACTTTTCCTCCTAAGCAGCAAACTGATGCGTGTTTCTGCCACCGGATCAGCTCACATTCATGAACAATAACCTGATTGTATTTAATGAAGCCGTGCAATAACGTGACCTTCACACTGAGAATGTTTCCAGAGTTACAGAACCTCAATGTGACCAAACGGCGACTCTGCACGATGTCATAGAACGAAGGGAACATTCTGCACGTCTTCATTAAATAAACTAAAGTTGTGGAGTTTTGGTTGGTTAAAAGGCTGATGTGAGAAAATCAGCTTTTTAAATGTGATTTTAAAGAAATCTTCCTGCTTTTTCGGATTGTTTATATTGTACTTTTTGATTAAATTACAGTTTGGTTGCAGCTAAGTTCTATGAGGATGAGAGGATTTGGTTCCCATCACATAGCGTCCCCTGTGGAGCTCCTATCAGCGCCTCTGAGCAGCTCAACGCCGATTAGCTAAACTCTACAAGCTGGCAGATACAAGCCTCCTCACGTCACAGAAACGACGATTTGTTCTGGTGCCTTCAGAGTAAACACAATCTGCTCAACGGGCCGATCAGGAGGCCGCCGGCTCCACCTTCATCCACAGTCTGCAGCTCAGAGCGTCACTCGTTAAACCTCACGAAGCACAGAAACACAAATGTCACCCAGCGCTTCCGTCTCCACGGTCTGGGTTCACGCTGTTCATTATGGGATGTCTCAGAGGTGGAACTGTACAAGAGAAGATTACTCATCTTTTAGCTTCATTCGCTCAAATAAGATGTTTTTTTTTTGTTGTTTTTAAATCATTCAAATGTTTCGACTTGTTTCTGGAGTCAATGTGAGTAAAATGCTTTTGCACCGTTTCCACATGTTGCTGTTGCTGTTGTTGTTGTTGTTGTTGTTGTTTGCATGCTTCTGTGTGTGTGTGAATGTTGTCCAAGAATCCAGAACAGTGTTCGTCGTGTGTCGCTGTGTGTCCAGGAGTCCCGGCTGGATGTTTGCAGATTGTTCTCTTACGCTCCACCTGAAGACAAAAAGCCAAACAGGAAGCACAGGTTCAGGCACCGGGGACGTATTTAAGGGACGGACAGAAGGAAACGGTTCAGTGTGTCTGTGGTGCAGCAGAGACGTTCGTCTGGAGAAATAAAACACTCAGAATCCTTCCTGTCAGCTCAGTTTGACACGTTGAATGAATTAAATAAAAGTGTTTGTGCTTCATTATGATCATGTTGCACTTTTGATTCGCTTCATGTTTAACTAGAAGTCTTTTATTTACTTTAGGAGGTTCGTTTAACACCTGTAACGACTAATTCCTTCACATGGCCACTAAAAATCAACGGTTTCAAGTTTGTTTTAGCTTTAAAAACACAAAAGTGTTGATGACTTTGACATTAATGTATGAAATCATCAGAAGTTTGGATACTGACCCAGTGAAACGTCAAAACTTAAATATTAATGAACAAAATCATAGATACCTTTGACATTAATGCATTAACATGCTAATAATGTGGATAAGAACGTGCACAAGTGCCCAAAACCTGGATATCAATGCACGAAAGTTGTAAAAACCTGAACATCAACCCAAAAAAGTCAATCAATAACCTGAATATTAACGTGCAAAGAGTCCAAAACCTGGATCTTAATGCAATAAAGTGTCAGAAAACTGGATGTAAATGCACAAAACTGTCAAAAACCTGGATACTAACAAATAGAGTTACCAATAATCTGGATATTAATGTAAAAAAAAGTGTCAATAACCTGGATATTATAACCCCAAGGTGTTAAAAATATTTATTTACTTACCAAACAGTCAATAACATGGATGTGAATGTAAAAAAAGTGTCAATAACCTCAATATGAACATGGAAAAGCACCTACAACCTGTATATTAAGACAATACAATGTCAATAACTTGGATATTAATGCACAAAAGTGCCCAAAATATGAACGTAAACACACAAAACTGTCAAAAACCAAGATATTAACACATAAAATTACCAATACCCTAAATATTAATGCACAAAAGTGTTGATAACCAAGATATTAGCACACAAAAGTATATTTAACCTGGATATTAATGTACAAAAGTGAATATTAACTCAGAAAATTACTGATAATCTGAATATTAATGTGCAAAAGCGCCTAAAACCTGTAAATTAACACACTAAAATGTCAATAAATACTGTAGGACAGTGTCAAAACCTGGATTTTAAAACACAAATATATCAATAACCTGGATTTTAAAACACAAAAGTGCCAATAATTTGGATATTAACACACAAACTTGTCAAAAAACTGAACATTAAAGAACCAAAGTGTCTAAAACTCAGATTTTAACAAAAATCCACATTTCAGGTCATTAAAGTGTCGATGTTCGGGGCTGTGTTTATGTCTTTGTGTATTTCACCTGCATCACTGCTGCTGTGCTGCCGTCTCCTCCTCCTCCATCCTCTCCTCCTCCTGCTCCACGTCCTCCTCCATCCTCTCCTCGCCTCCCGCCTCCTCCCTCTCCTCCCCCCGGGCTATGGGGGGATAGCTCGGCCTCCCCCGCTGCCTCTGGTTGCGCCTCGCCTTGCGGGCGATGCCCTTCCTCCTCTGGGCCACGGAGGCCGGGCTGGGCGACGGGGACGAGGTGGGGCAGGAGGAGGAGGACGGGGAGGCCGGCTGGCCGGGCTGAAGCTGGTGGGAGGAGACGCAGGGAGGCTGGGCCGCTTCGTCCGGGTCGGGGTGCTGGGCCGCGGTGGAGGAGTCTGGAGCTGTGGAGCAGCCGGCGGCGTCGCTGTCGGCCAGATCTCTGGATGGAGAGTCTGAGGAAACACAGCACCGGAGTCAGTTTGTTCATCCTCACAGAGTCTGAATTAAGCAGACGACTGTGGCTTCAGCGTACCGGGGCCGCTGCTGGTCTGAGACTCATCCGTCATCGGCGGCTCGGCTTCCTCCTGGATCGTTGGTACTGATGCTAGAAGACCTGACGCACAAAGAGACACGAGGGTTTAAAAAGCATTGAAACAAAAACGCCTAACGTCAAGTCAAGACTTCTGAGCTCTGGGAAAAAAACCTTTGATCGAGGGCAAAGCTGGCTGCGGACAGGAATAACATCGCGCTAAAGTGTTCAAAAAAAAAAAAAAAAAAGGATATTAATGCACAGAAGTGTTAAAAAATCCAGAAAGAAGTGCAAAAGAAGCACCAAAAAAACAAAAATATGAACACGTCAAAGTGTTAGTAACCATTTAAACAACATGAAAACTACACACACGACAGGTAAAAACTAAAACACGCAGAGATAATAACAGTTCAAAGCATATTTACCAGTAATATTACTGCATTAAACGCACTAATCTCACCACTAACGCTCGTTAGCTTAAAGTGTTTATTAAAGGATAATTCAGGTTTATTCCAGCCAATAAAACCTGCCTACAACTTTAGAAACGCTCCAGAATTACAACATTTATCTGCCGGAAACTGTAAAAAAAAAGAAACTGAAAAAACGTCCAGATTTTCAACTTTCCGACAGTCTTTGAACACATCACGTGCACTGTTCAGTTCTGTCGGGAAAATAGACCTTTTTTTTTTTGTTTGTTTTCATGATTTCTGTCGTTCTGTGTCGTTGTGCACAGAACACATTTCTGAGTTCTCTCTCCTTCTTCGTTCTGCTTCCATAGAGGTGCAGGACTTCATACTGCAGTTAAAAACGAACCTACACTCGGGAAAAGCACAAAAAACCTCCCAAACACTGCTGCTTGGAGTTCAGCGGGTTAATACGTCTCTATGTTACTGTTAACTTCTCGACCTCTGTTGCAGAATTTCTGGGCACAAAACGGTTATTCTCGACCAAACAAAGCTCCGTGCAGCTTTTCCAAAGAACCCAACATCTACATGAATCTGTTGAATATGGCTGAATATTCCTGTATGATTAATGTAAATATCAGGTTCTTTAAAAAGCTGCAGGGAGCTCCGGTTAGACGCCTGGATCAAATAAACCCAAACACAGGTTTGAAAATACCTTCGACACCTCACAGTTACAGAGATCACAGTTCTCTTTGCACAGCATTTAAAACCAGCGTAGGAAACGACTCACTGAGGCCTCTGTAGTGGGAGAGCTGCTGGTAAACCTGCTTCATCCTCTCGATGTTGAGCCGGCTGCCCTCGGCGTGGTTGATCATGGGTTTGGGGTAATCCACGCCCACCACGCAGTTGGCCGCCTTCTGGAGCGCCTCGGGGGCGTTCCAGGGCTCGTAGATGTACCGGTTGGGGTAGTCCTTCAGGATGGGGATGTAGCGCCTGCAGGACGGATCCAGGAGAACAAAAATCAGACCGACATCCTGCATTTAAAAGCACGTATCGGTGTAGCACAGATCTGGAATTAAAAACCTGCTGCTCGGCTGGAAAATGTTGGAAATGTTGGAAGCTTCCTGAGGAGTCATTCCACAACGTAAAGTACAATCTGAACATTTTACAGTGTTTTTAAATCCTGTATTTCCTCAAATATGAACCAGAGTTTTTAACTGCCTCGACTGCAGAAGGTAGTCCACCTTGAATCAGTTTATTTGGTCATATTTTCGTACAAAATCTTACTTCAAATTATTCCTGTTTGCCCTGTTAAAGTCACTGCCGCTAATAGAAACTCTGCACTATTTGTTACTGCTTTAAATTCTCTTAGTTCACAAAAGTCCTACGTTTCTTAACAAGGCTTTCTCTGTGAAACATCTGCAGGATATCAACTAACAGCTGGATGAGATCAACTCTCTGAACCCTAAACATCCACCAGCAGGTTTAAAAGGTGTAAAATCTATACATATATTTTAAATGTACACAATTTATCTGCCAGAAATGATAAAAACAGAATCTATTTGGCAGGTTTTCAACATCAGACCACTTCTGAACTACTCAACTGTTTAAAACGTAACCAAACTCAAGTTTAAAATCATATTATTTAGGTCAGAGTTTTCGTCTTTGGTCGACTGCTGCTCCAGATAATCGTTGCTGTAGGACCGACCTGATGTAGTCTCCAGACGGGTCGGTTCTCCTCCCGAAGCCGACCGGACAGTAGCAGTGGAAGAACTGCTGGAAGAAGGCACTGCAGGACAACCACATCCAGCTGCCGGCGTTCACGCTCCAGTCGGCGTCCAGCAGCAGCTCCTCGAACACCTGCAGACACACGAGTTCGTCAGAAAGCTCCGCCCTGAAAGAGCGTCGGTTCCACCCGAGAGGCTCCGGGTCGGCGGCTCACCTTCATGCCGCTCTCCCAGCTGATCCACAGGTCTCCTCTGGTCAGGAAGCAGGCCACGGCGTGCCGGGCCAGGTGGTGGATCCAGCCCTCCTGCCTCAGCTGGGTCATGATGGCGTCGATCCAGGGGAAGCCGGTCCGGCCCTCGGCCCACTTGGCCAGCGCCTCCGGGTTCTGGTCCCACGGGATCTGGTGACAAACAGAGATATAATGTAAGTATAAAAGAAGACAAACTATTCCAGTGTGTAGATGCACGAAGTCCTTGAATCTATCATGTGTGACAAAAGAAAGTTTACCAAATGGAAGCTTAAAATCTGAATATTTCATCAAATTCACTTTATCCTAAAAAAATATGCTGAAAAAAAGAAAACAGATTGTGTAAAAACACTAAAAAAAAAACCAGAGCTCCTCAGCAAAACTGATACAGTTTAGAGTTTTCACTGTAGAAGAATCACCTGCTGAACGCGTCACCTGAACTAAAACACAACTCCAGTAATCAGAACCTGGATTTATTCACTAGAACTCCTGTTATAATGAAGTTTTAAGAAATGAAGCACCACTATTCTGTATAAAAGTACTATTCTAGACACTGTGTGTTTCCTTTATTTGGGTAAATTATCCATCATGTCATATGTGGACATGTGAAAGGTGAATATTGTCTTTATGATATCTGTATTTTTAGCCTTATTGTACTTTAGTAATTCCTGTCCAGCTTCTTCCGTGTCTCATCTTTATTTAGTTGCTGTAACGGAAGTAACACAAGCGTAAACGTCGGACAAATCAAGCGTTTTTTTCTTAAATTTCCAAATTGTTTCCATCTCACCATTACAAAAAAACCCCAAACAGTCAGACTTCAACTTATTCCTGCTAAATATTCTGGATTTCCTGAACTTCTTGTACAATATTTATTTGGATTTCCAACTCCGTCTCCCTGTAGGATGTATGAAACCTCATGTGCATGTGAATTTCTCCACAGAACTCCCCACGTACATCGTCTGAACTCTGATCATGATCTGATTTTATTTTTTACCATTTACCATCACCGTGTTCTCTGTTCAAAAAAGAAGAAACTGTGTACTGGTTTTCTGCTTTTCTTTTAACATACATCCAATAATTTCAAGATTTTAAAAGTTCAATTTAATTACACAAGATGGAGAAGCATCTCTGCTGCTAATAATGGAGGTAGATATCTAGATAGAGATCTAATAGAGTCTCTATCTTCTTCGTTTCGAGGCTCACCTGGACACAGATGGGGTTTCCGTCCATGCGGTCGAAGTTTGGGTTGTTGGTGGCGGCGGTGTAGAAGAACTCCCTCCATAAGAGCTGCCCGAACAGGGACAGGGGAGGACTGCAACGCTTCCGGAGCTGATGGAGACACGAAGAGGGAAAAACAGGACGATTATCTCACATGT